AAATGGAATTTTGAAAGAGGATCTGAGGTTATGAAGCCTGCATATCACAGACAAGACGTCAAAAGACAAATTTAAAAAGCAGGCAACATATCCTAAGGATGATTATACAGTATTTAAGTAGGAATACTGGAACCACCAAAGTTGCAAAAGGACAAATACAAGAAACTAAAAATACCATCTAAAATGTATACACAACAATAATGTCGTGCTGAATAATCTTCAAGGATCAAAAATATAAGTTAACATCATTGATTAAATGTACGGGGAGACTTTTTACAGCCGCCACACGGCACAACTAACATGGATTTGACAATGAAATAGAGAAAAGCAGTAATTAAATTAATAAGAGTATTCATACGGGAATTCGCATAATCCTCTCATGCACTGTCATTTTCTCTATTTGTTAACAAGAATGAATTTCGCTGGTGCTTAGAAACCTGGATTAGATCTACTCTTTACAATAATATCTAAAGTCACTTTACCAAGGTAATTATGTTTACCTACCGGCTCTTTTGTTAAAAGCGGTCTTGTAAATCACTTACCTACCGGCTCATTTGACAATAATAATAATGACAATAGATTTTATTCAGCATTAAACATTGTACAAATGTTTATAGCAAGAAATGATGAACAAATCAAATACACATCCCATATATACAAATGGTGAGCATTAGTGCACAGGCAATAATAAGTCCTCTTTCTTCCTTAACATTAATAAGTGAAATGAATTTTTAAGTAAGCATTTAAATGTTTCTGGTATAAAAAAGTGATGAATACAGTAACAGATTGTATGAGACTAATGAACTGTTTTTCTCTTTTAATTGACCAAGTATGTATTTTGCCAAATTCAACGAAGTACATATTGAGTTAGCATTGAAGTATTTTTGGTACAAGTAAAATAAATAAATTAATTAATTGCAATAATAAACTGTATATATGTAAGACCATTGAACAATGCCAAAGTCAATGAAATTGTTAAAAGCGGTCTAGTAAATCACTGACCGACCGCTTAACAGATCTGCAAATATATACCGACCTGTTATTGTTCTATTGTTCCCTATACGTAATAGTTATACTACATGAAACGAGTTAGTTACGAGGATATAACACTGGCTGGGGCGACATCAAGGGGTGTTTCTGCTAAAAAAAATGTCGAGCCGTTAGGCCAGTGTTATACCCCCGTAACGAGTTTCATATACTATAACTGTTTTATCGCAATGGCATAATGTTTTCTTTTTTAGTAAAATAAATAAATAAATCGTTAGCTACGTTACAGTTATTCATGATAAGGCAGTTTTTTCAAGTTGTTTTCGCTGTCGCAAAAAAAAAGATATACAAGAGTCATCCAGTGTTAGAGGCGAATTGAAAACTGTTACCAATATTGATTCATTTTAATTAAAAGGTTTTTTTTTTCAGTGGAAATAATTCATTCAGCGCATGTATTTTTTTGATTAAATGAGAGTAAATTTCATTTCATTAATTATTTTTGTTTATATTCTTCAATGTATTTATTTATTTATTTTATTTTATTTTATTGATTCCATTTTTTTTTTTTTTTTTTTTGCTACTGGGAATGTTCGTTACCACTGCCCCATTGGAACCGCTGTGAAAAAAAAACTGCATTGATATATAACAGGTGCGAAAAAAAACTCAACCGATATATAACAGTCGAGTTTTTATCCTATAGGAATCAGTGAAAAAACTGTACTGTTATATACAGTTTTCAAATGCTCATTGAAGTGTACTGAGTATAATGGGCTAGTAAGAACAAAGGAAAAGTTCCAAACCATGCGATAAAAAAGAAAATATGTGAAGTCGAGAAATTCGTGTGCATTACACAATATTCACCGTAGACGCAGAAATTTTGAAAAATAACGCTGAATTGTGCAAATTTGTAGGGGGGGGGGGGGATAATGACCACTTCGAACAGGAACTAGGGTCGATATATATTTTAAAGTACATTCGATCAAATTAATAAAATAAAATTAGCGCATACGGCTGTAAGGAACCTCATAACATATATTACAGATTATTTGTGAGAAAAACAAACTGGATACTGTTCCGGCGATGAAGTTTGTGTTTCGCCGATATTAATGAGTACAATAACGCACATTTAGCCTTTCTTTATAGTTTGCTTTTCGGTATACCTAACAAATTTGCCGAACTATATAGCTTCATAAGATACTAGTTTTCGGCATTTATTTCCACAACTGTGTCTGATTTTGCATAATCCTGCATTATTTTAACAATTACATATATTTATTCATTTACTTTCCTTTGGAAAAAAATCGTATATTTCAATTATATTAGAAATAGCCTGATCATCTATTTACCATGAAATTATTATTATAAATAAAGAAAAAGTGTGTCGTTTTTTATTATAAAAAAACTTTTTTATCTTCCTCAATATTTATATATATTATTAATATGTTATGCATTGATATATCAAAATAATGATTTTACCTTTGCCTACCCGACAAGTTATGTTTTCTTTTTCTGTGACTCAACTCAACAAGTACATTACCTGACCTTATTACATAATGAAACCCCACGAGAAACACGAGAATATTCAAATAACACCTGATTGTGAACGAATGAATTACAAGAGCGTAGCGGATGGTATCTTTGCATGGCTTTGGAATGCTTTCTTTAACATGATAAAGTACATAAATAGTGTGTTTCTTGTGAGTAATATTAATAAATACTGAGTTAAAAACTGATGTATGGGTAGAAAAACAAAATAGCATGTAGGTAAGATAGTTACCGCACTCGAAATAGGTCTGCATAGTATTTACAGACCCGGTGGCCTTTTAAAAACCTCGATCGCTACGCTCTCTCGGTCTTCAAATCGCCACCCAGGTCTGTAAGTACTATGCAGACCTATTCCTCGTACGGTAACTATTACATACGGTCACAGTCAGATCTATAAGCGGAGCGTTATTTAGAACTGATTTTAATAAGATTGATATGTCATATCTTCATAGTCTAGGAACATTTTGATTTGAAAATATCTTTTAGTCATCACTGTGTAAAATAATCATTTGAGTTCGTTAAAGATGCGTCGATTTTTGATGTGTTTCTAAACTATTCATTTCCAATTTAATGTATTTTGATGCAAACTAATATTGAACTTAATTGAGTAGTGTTGATCTTCAGTAACGGGATATTTGTTAAAGGAACTCCACTGAGGTTTATAAGCCTAAAAACATAAAATCTTAATTTTTCACGTAGATAAACATGAGCACTTAAAACTGAAACATAAATAAGATATAATTAAGAAATATATAAGAAATATATTCAAAATCGTATGTCTGTGCTATTTTCAGTCCGATTTGAGTGAAAAGCGTTTAAAACGCTTTTCAATTTTGGTTCATTTTTCACTATTATAATAATTATTCTGAAAAAAACTGAGCGAGCTAATGATCTAAAATTTGCACATAAGTTATTGGTATAGATCTAAATCAAATGGAGTAATAATCTCAACAAATTATTTCCAGCCCCGTCATGTCAAAAAAGCTCAGTGGAGTCCTTTTAAAGAGGATTGACAAATTCAAGAAATTTCCCGTCTTCTTCATCAATTAATTTCAATCACGTATAAATAATTAAAATAAGTATATTTATTCGTAGATATTAACGTAGAGACAAAAGCCTGCTGACAATTTTATTGCTCTAAAAGGAGATTTATTCCTCTTTTTCTCAATCTGTTTTGCATAACAAAACGTGACTGTAATAGTCATAAGCATATATATTGCATTTTACCTTCTTTCGCCCTTTTACATAGATAGTGAAGTAGCTAAATGGACTGTAACCAAGGGTTTATATAAACGATTGTTTGGACTATTTAACAATTTTTAAAGTTATATCAGTTTATAACAGGTTGACCATATTCCATGTTATAGACAATCGATAGTTTTAATATTTAATATTTGACTAAATTGGTAATTATAATAATGTTATAATTGCGCATATAAATTTTTAACAATACAATGCAAACAAACTTGATTCATTACTATAAACTAAACACAGCCTTTTCGTGTACTGCAATAATTTTAGAAAAGAAATGCTAACAGTACACTGCTGTCATAACGCAAATGTAAATATCATTGGCCAGAAATTCGTATTTCCCGCAATTAAAAACGAAAACGAAGTACTTTTCGTGGTGTTAGGCACGTGTCCGAAAGATTTCGATAATTAAGTGTTTAATGAATTGATTGATTCTTTCATTATTTGATTTAGTTTAATAATATTTGACGTAGCGAAATAATTGAATTTTAGATGGGTATTTTTTGTTCTTGTTTTCCAAGCTAATCAAATAAAACTTTCCCGGGTTTTTCTTGTAAACTAAATTAAAACCAAATTTAAAATTATGGGTTCTAAAGTTCAAAACTGTATCAAAAATTTGGGTAACATTATAAAATAAACCCAGTTTTAAACCCGGGTCAAACAATTTGCTAAACAAATTTAATAAAAATAAAAGATTTAAACCCATTGCTTTTCCCAAGTATAAAATAATGTAAAAAAAATTTGCCCCGGATATTTAAGATTTTTTGTAAAAAATTTTTTTTAAAAATATTATCCCAAAAGCAACCAAAAAAAACGGGGTTTTTTTATTCTTTTTTTAATTTAAATTTTCTATTTTTTGGGTTTCGAATGATACAGAAAACGAGGGAAACAAAACAAACGTTTTAAACCCCTTTTAAACAAAATTTTATGCCCCAGAAAAACCCGGTGCAGTTTCTCCCAAAAAGGATTGAATAGAATATTTGAAATTTTTCTGCAGACCCTGCTGACTTAAGTAAGCAATATTTAATCAAGTGTTAATCAATATGAAAGAAAATACATGGTAAAATCCGATAAACGCATGTTACAGTTGAATTATATTTAAAAACACTGGAGACACGGGCAAAATTTTCATTACTTTGTTTTAATATTTTCATTCGTTATTCCATAAATGTCGTCAAAATAAATACATAAGGTAGTCATAGGAACAAAACTTTTTTTCTTATAAAGAATATAATTGTGGTTTCCTAACTTGACCATCGTGGGTCAGGTCAGAGCGTTAAGATTTCACAATAGTTCCCACAGTGAACTCTTGAAACGTTAAAGAACATGTCAAGTGAATGATTTAGACTTGTTTTAATGATACGATATTCACAATATCTGTTATTGTAACTTCCAATGTTTGTTCAAGTCACATGGCTTGTTTTAAAACTACTCATTTATTCTGTCAGAGTCTAGATTTCGTTCAATATATCTAGATATATTTACCTTCAAACTCAAAATATATAGAATTTAAACAGAAATTCATGCTGGGCTTTACAAATGTGATTTAAGCGTGCTTTGAGTACATTAAATTATTTTAATATTTTTATCATTTATTTGCCTGAGTACCCACTTCAAAAAGTAGACATTTTATAGTAGAAAACAATTAGTTTGTACAAAAGTGTCTTTAAAAAAGATTAAGATAAAAATGTTTGATATGTTTCAAAAATATTTTATTCAGTATTTCAAAGTGTTAAAACAAATATGACAGTTTAAGATAAATCTTAATAATTGTTTGGTGTACAGTGGTGCATTAACTAAAAAGCTAATAAGGCGTGAAGAACAATTCAATAAATGACATTATTATTACATAACTGCAAACGGTACATAGAGATCAAAAGACAGTTAACGCTGAAACAATGTTTTATTCACCAATAAATGTTGATATATTGTAAAACAAAAAGCAGAAAAATCAACAAATAGTTCGTTCGAATTAATTCTTTCATAATCAAAATGCAAGACCTGTCATATGAAATAAATATGTAGCAAACTTTTGAATGATGTACATGTATAAACATGCATCGAAACATTCAAAATGCACGATTAAAGGTTGCTTGAAATAACGCTTGAAAGTTTCTTATAGAATAAACTAGTATATGTACTCTATTGAAGAAATATATTTACACGTATAAATATCCCCTTATTCACAAAGTCATATTATTCAAATTACCAATTTAATAGATTACAATGTACTTGTAAAACTGTATTTATATCATACAGTTATTTCACATTTGATAATCTGAGGCTGCACCAAGATATATCAAGAACCCAATGGACGGAATATACGTCAAAAAGACCATTGCATAAAATAAAAGCTTATCAATGGCAAGACTCACATCTTGCCACGTTATTGTTTGACCATCAGCGTCTTTATCCTCGTCCTGATTTACTTTTAAGATGTGTGTCTTGGTTGCTTTTGTCTTATCATGTGTTGGTGCATTACCGTATTTAATGTCCTGAATACCATTGTTCCTGTCTTGTTCATCGCTCACTTTATTATTTCTAGTACACTTTGAAAACATAACGAGTGAAATATGCCATGGTTTTTTGGGAACATTTTCCTTGCGGTGATATACAGCTAGATTAAGTATGGCCAAAACAGTTCCTATAACACTGACACATATTCCAGCCAGAATGTAACAACACATTAATGATATCGGTTCCGAAGACTTTGGCATTTCATCAGAAACTACAGTCAAGAAAACTGCTAAGGATAACATTATCGTAATTGCATAGCTGACGCGTTCACCAGACTCGCTAGGTAAAAGGAAAACGAGGCATGTAAGTCCGGCGATTCCATTGATTGGTAAAATAATGGTAAGAACATAAAAAAGTGATTGCCGTTTCAGTTTAAACCGAAATATCGCCATTGAAAATCCAACCGTGTTTATAGTGTAGTATGATGTATCTTCAAGAACCCATTCAGCGTTTGGGGTAAATGACTTAGTTTTTACCCCATCAATTATCGTAAATAATAGTTGGTCCGTTGTATAATCTAAAGGGAAAAATCCGACATCACATATCTGTTTGTCGAAAGGCCAAAATTTCATATTAAATCCACATGAACTTTTCAAAACAGCGCCTGGATAAAACAGTGCGAACCCGCTTGGAAAGAAGATTACATGATTATTAACCGAACCCATTGTAGCAAATTCAATAGGCGTTCCAAGTGAAATGGAAGGAGTCCACGCTTCACTTGTTAAAATAAGAATCTTAGAAATGCCACCATAATCAGCAGGATCCCATTGCATCCGCTCATCTATCCATACACATTGAGTTGCAACTGTTATTGTGATCACACCCCTTACGTCGTCGATTTCAGGTATTCCGAATAGATCAAGCGTTACATTTACATTTACCACATCCGATTGATTATTTATCGGTCGTACATCTTTATGGTAGTTTGCTAAAAGATCCGATCTTAAACGTGTAGCATTTTCATAAGTTTGACTTGAAACAGTCCCAAATATTGCGAACACAAATACGTTTAAAAACGCGAAAATATGCAGACGTTCCATATCCATTTTACAAACAGTCCGACGAAGACATTCGTTTATTATAATAAACACTTTTCCTTTATAATTATTATAGAAAATCAATGCGTTATTTCAATAAAACAGTTGTAGTGTTTTACCCTTTATTTGGGCCATAATTTGCAACCCTATTTAAATAGATTATGATCGTTCATGCATATATTTTTACTGATTAATTACAAGATTGGTCTTTTATAATAAAGCTATAATTTTAGGGTAATCATTATCTGCTTTGACGATAATTATTAACGAATCCTAGATAGGTTAAAAAATACGATTACCGAAATGTAAACACCTTTCCCGTTTTTGTTATGAACCCGGTGAAAATTTAATCCTTTTTTTAAAGTCCTGGCATTGTATAAATGAATAGCCTAACATACTTTTTAAACGTAAATTTAAAAATGAACAAAAACTGCGTTGTAATCAAAATATTTATTTTTGTAATGTATACGCCTTTTCTTATTTATGAATTTCCATTTAAAAAGAACTTAAACAAATAATAACTTAATGGTCAAACCATACTTAAAGTGACTTTTGAATTGTAATTGTTGTTAAACTTTTTTTGTGGTGAATACGTCACTTAATTTTTGAAGTTACATTTCTGTTTTAATATGTTCCAAAACTTTTTATTCTATGGTCATACTTTTTAACGTGGTCATGAAAATTTTGTGTGAACTTATTTAAGATGAATAATCACTCAATTAATATACAATTTTGTGATTTTTAGTTCTGGATATGATTGGAGTGGTGAAGTATTAAACGAAAAACCCGTGATAAACGGTGCATAAACAAACTTAAATTTTTAGTTCTGGATATGATTGGACTGATGAAGTATTAAACGAAAAACCCGTGATAAACGGCGCCTAAACAAACTAAAATGAACCAAACCAGTAATATAATGGGATACGGTAGAATATTTAGTCAAAGTCTATACATATCCTGATGGTGCAATCGAATTAGTCAAGTTTTTATTTTAATATTGCTTCTTTGAGTTTGAGATAGTGTAGTTCAATTTGATATAGTGTTTTAGATACGGAAATTATGATTTTTTTACTTTAATACGCAACCAACTATTAGTTTAAAAAAATAATTAGTTAAATAATCATATATAAAGCATATCATACCATCACTAAAAAGCTACCTCTCTGGCGTGGGTTCGATCCCCGGGAGATGCTTTGGTAGTTAAGCATGGAGGAAGGTAGTCTAGTACTGGTGTAACTCTCCAGGAACGATGGTTAGGAAACTACCCGCCTATGTTACTGAAATACTGTTGGAAAAAGGTGTAAAAACAATCAATCAAACAAACAAACAAAAAGGAAACAAAGGGGCATAGTTATAAGTTTTAAAATTGTGTTCAGTATATCAGCTTACTTCAAAAAGTCCAACCTAAATTATATATTTACAAACGTGTTATGTTAAACTAAATTCGCAGGGAATCTTTCTTTATCAGGAACGTTTATGCGATCGAAATAGACTTTGTTCAATCGTAATTCTGGTTTGTACGTAAATAACTTAAACGGATAGTATTTCTTTCATTGATTTCTATACCCTCCACCACACTCCAGCACTAATTATTACTTTTACATTAGGAGGTCCGGCTTAACATGATTCAACCGTTGAAGTGTTCAATATATTACACAAAAATGAAATTTGATCATTAGTGTATTAAGACATTATATTTTTTTACACGTGACAGATTTTAGATGAAACCTAAGCAGAATACAAGAAGTATTTTTTATCAACTGCTAAAAATATCTGATTGCTTCAAAAACATTATTTTTTTCCATGCACACCCGTGAACCGTTATCCGTAACCACCTCACTTTTTATATTTCTTGCAATCATTTGAGTTAATATCATAACAAACCCAAACAAACACAAACATTGTATTTTACCGTATCAACTTTTGGCTAGTTCTTAATTTATCAGAAATAGTAAAAACTTAGTAACGTAAAAATGTATGAAGCTTATGAATTCACCCCAAAACACCTCTCGTTAGTAGAGCAATCTAGAGAAGGCGTATGTTTCACTGTAAATTAGATATGGCGAAGAAGATACCTTAAAATCGCGAAGTTTAACCTTTATTCAGAATGTTCTTGACCTTTGCATTATAAAAACAATAGGTGTGGGTGATAGTTTACTTTTACTTTATCTACTGCTGTTAGCAGCTTTATAAGGATGATCACATGCTAGTAATTATGACAACAATATAGCCTTAACCATCAGTGCTCCATTTCAAAGTGAATTGTCTGTCATTAGCATACTAGAAATTAAGCATTGTTAACCGTGCGGAAAACGCTGTGATGGTTTGAAAAAAAATTAACTAACTCTAGTATAACAGCATTTAAGTAATCTTAATTTTGCTTGTTATTAATGAAACATGTGCCTTCATGCCAATGACAATGTTTTAATTAAGTCAAACTCAGAGTAAATCACGAGTAATTAATATTGATATCGATTTAATAGGCCAGACTTGTAAATTTGATATTGCACCATTAATACAATATACAAATCATTAGTTGTACAAACAAGCAAACCATTTAAGATTAATCGATATATTAGTAAAAGCATTTCAAGAACTAACAATATATTTTGATTATTGTTAAGTTCTTGGGCAAGATAAATATTTGTTTAATATTTAATATCTCATTTTCAATTTCAGAGCACACCTATGTTTTTAACTTGAAACCACAGATTCTATTAGTTTAATACCAGGTTGTTACTTTGAAGATTTTATAATCACCATATGATCATATAATTACATTATTGATGAGTAATCTATCATTTACCATCTAATAGTAAAGTCTGCTATTGTCGGTGAATTAGAATAACAACAGATTGCTTTATTACATATTTAATCAAACCAAATTACAACATTGGTGTTATGTTTGATGCCATTTAAGTTAATATACATTATATTATTATTGCACCAGATGAAAAACTTTTACAAATAATAAAAATAGAAATACGTTAAATATCATTTATTTGATTACATCAATGTCAATCACTATATTCCGGTCAAAGTCTATGTATGATTAATATTTCATATCATCCTCATATTAACCAATTAGAATTTTTATATGGTAGTTGAATAAGAAAACTTTTTGAATAATTTTTTCACTTTAAGATGTATTACCAAACGCGAAAATAACGTTTAGCTGGGTTTTGGGCTGGTTGACAAATTTGATACAATTATCTAAATTATCTAAAATACAATCCATCAAGATTCCATGGTTCAAATTACATAATGTACTCTTTGTGTCTAACACATTCTTAGCTCTTGTAATTTACAGCAATTATGTGACATTACAGTAACATTAACAGTGTAATCTTTGCAGAATGACTCTTTGCTTAGCAATTATCATTTTACTACATCTTATCACATTTCTTCAAAAGTAAATCTTCTGTGGAACATCTTTTTAAATAAAATAAATCATCTGCTGAAATGTGCAAAAAACGCCAAAATGATCAATTTAAGTATTACTTTTATGTATGCTTTATCAAACTTAAGATCTTATAATAATTTAAAGAATAATTCGATTGACATTATCATTTGTGGCATTTTCTCAAGATTAATTAGTCAGATCATGTATTGCAGTCTGAGTGTTCGTTGCAGCAGCTGCATTATTTTTGTTTATGAATACTTATAATTAACGCATTGTATCTAGTAGGACATTTTGCTGCAGTCTCAAATTTGTCTGACCGTTAACTTCTCACATAAATTACTTAAAAGAGCTGACAATGTAGATGCTATTGAGGGTGAGCTCAAATACGAGTTTTCATGAGGAAAAAACGGCCCAAATATATCTCAGGCAACTAGCAACAACGATTTCCTAATTCTACTTTCAGCTTTTATATTTAGTTTAAGTGTTAATGAAATCATATAGATAAGACAAATGAATACAAATAGTTAATTGTCAAAGATTACGTGTTAAACATATTTATTTAATATCTTAATATGTTTGTTTCAAAATGATATTTTGAGTTATTGAAGGAAACATTATATCATCATAGGTTAATAAAAAGTGTTTATAAGAACTGACATTAAAAAGATATTGAATCTAACGATCAGTTATAAGTCGAAAGGAAAGCAATTTAGTACCTTTGATTTACATATGTGTAAAACAGTTCAGTGTAGTTCATTTTCATCAGTGAAGAGGAGTGATAAACCATTCAGTGTACAGTTCAGTGTAGTTCATTTTCATCAGTGAAGAGGAGTGATAAACCATTCAGTGTATATAAAACATAATTGAAAGAAAGAGTCACAATACAATATAAACATAATTTTTACATAATTGACAAACTGATGTTTGAACTATTTATATGATTTACATATTAACTTCAACAAGTATATGCATTTTATTATAAAAATTACACGAGGGATATATTTCAGTAATGATTTATTAAATCAATTCTACCAAGGCGGCAAGTACTGGGATCTGTGCTGTCTGATCATAGTATATAAAGAACACATGGGTTTGTGGGTAACAGTTAAAATATCATCCCGAGTTGATGAGTAAGAAAATATTTTATAAATCCATTCAGAAGTACCATAACCTATTTTATGCAAATTTCCAGAAACAAATACAAAAGCGGATCGTTTTCACGGAAAATCCTGCTGACACCGTGACAGACAAAGAGATTTATATTCATTTTATAGAAACTGATCAAGTAACGGTTAATGAATGTTGTGTATCAATTACAATCAAAGCAAAATCAAACTTCTATACATATTTGAGTTCTTTGTTTAGATGGAAGACAATAAGCAAAGATTTCCGATCCTTGAAGATCATTCAGCACGACAATATTGGTGTATTTGTGGTAGTTTGAGTTGCCCTATCACCCTGAGAATATGTGGCCTGTTTTTTTTTTGTTGGTTTTTTTAATTGTTTTTTTTGTTTTTTTTTTTTTGTTTGTACGTAATTATTAAACAGAGAATATTTAAAATAATCAACATAAATAGCTAAACGATGCAATTTAGGTTTTTTCTATCATGTTTTTCATTTCACGTAAAGAATAACTCGGGAACACTTGTAAAAACGATTACTAGCGCACTTTTTTCATCATCTCATGGGTAGTTGTAACTGATGCTCGTA